CCTCAGCACCACATAAGCAAAAAGAAAAAAGCTGGAAGTAGCGCTGTGGCTCAAGTGGTAGAGCGCTAGCCTTGAGCTGAAGAGCTGAGGGACAGCTCCCAGGCCCACAGTTCAGGCCCACGACCAGACCCCCCAAAAAATAATAATAATATGTGAAATCATTCTATGCCATGTCACTCAGTGTTTGAAATAAGAAAAATACTATACTATGGAGACTAAAAAAAATTATTCAAATTACACTTTGTGTATGAATAGAATTCTTACAGTTGAACCTCTTCCACTAACAAGCAAATCTTAGCACAAAAAAGAAAAAAATAATCCAGGTGCTGGAGGCTCACACATTTAATCTTAGCTACTCAGAAGGTTGAGATATGAGGATCATGGTTCAAAGCTAGCCCAGGCAGGAAAGTCCATGAGACTCTAATTTCCAATAAAACAGTTAGAATACTGGAAGTGGCACAATGCTAAAGTGGTAGAGAATATGCCTTGATCTGAAGAACTGAGGAACAGCACCCAGGCCCAGAGTTCAAGACCCAAGACCAACAACAACAAAAAAAAAAGACCAAAAGAAAAAAGAAGTTTGCTAAACTAAAATCATAAAAAATGACACTCAGTATAAGGATAAAACACTTTTATATTTTTATAGTCAAGTGTATATTTCAAGCAAACTATATGAATTAGGGTTAAAGAGTCAATGAAAGATAAGCTGGAATTAGTGGCTCATGCCTGTAATCCTAGCAAATCACAAGGATGAGATGATTCAAAGTTAGTAGTAAAAGAAAGAAGAAAGTATATATGATTCACTTTCCTTCCTTCCTTCCTTCCTTCCTTTGCTTTCCTTCTTTGTATCAGACCCAGACTCAAAATCAGTACTGCCACTTTTACTCATTGCCTAGAACTCTATCAACTGAGCAACACTTCAAACACCAAGATTCATATCTAATTAAGTACCAAAAAACTGAGTATTTCTCAAGTCGTATAGCACTAGACTTTAGCAAAAAAAAAACACCTAAGGAACAGAACCCAAGCTCTCAGTTCAACCTGCAAAACAAGAATACACACACACACACACACACACACACACATCCATCAGGGCTGAAAGGTTTGGATGACTAACATTAGATAGACACAAAAATTATGTTTTTATGAGAGGAAATTATCCAGTGAAAACTTGATTTGAAGGAAGTACACCATGAGACGTGAAAGGTACTAATTTTTGATAAATCACCTGACCCCATGAATTTAGGGCACACTAAATATACAAAGACACATCTATCAAACTATGATAACATTTCAAAAGGGCAATAAATTATACTTTAAAAATTGAAATTGAATGAAATACATGCAAATTGTGAATACGTTAAAAACCAATAAGAATACCACAAAAATAAAATTTAGGACTTAAAAAAATAGACTTACTTGAGGGCAAGGATCAACATTTAAATCTTGACTGTTTCCTGCACCTGCTGATCCCGGACAGGGTGGAAGGCTGGGGCTGAAGGCCATGAGATCCGTATTGGACGGAACCACTGCTGAGCACACCCTCTGCCTCCTCTGCTGGGAGTAAGTCAAACTCCCCACCGCGCTGGAGCACACCAGCACAGGCTTCCCAGGCGCGCACGCGCCCTCGCTCCGCCCCACAGCCGCCCCAGAGCACCGCAGCGCCAC